CTTTTGAAGAAGATCGTGGCTGAGAAGAAAAAACTGACCCAGTCCAACGAGGAGCTGAAGTCCTTGAAGACCAAGATTTCCACGAAGCACAGCGGGGATAAAGCATGGGATAAACGCAAGGACGACGTCGATCAGGCGATCACCGCTCTCGAGGACTTCTTGGGTGTTCTTCGACAACACGAGGCCGAGAGTGTGCCCGCGGATGTTACTTCCGATTGCACCGAGCTTGTGGCCACCTTTCACAGTGTCGTGGACCAGGCTGCCCACCACGACAAAGGCAGCAAGGCCCTGCTCAAGAAAGTCCATGGCTTGATGGAGTGAGCGGCCCTTGAGATTCATCACCCTGCATGATATTCTCAGGTAGCAGTGTATAGGTGTTGCTTCAGGTTCGCCTTGGGACGGAGCTCCTTGGCAGGAAAGGCTGCACAGACTTTCGTCGCCGACCACAGAAGAGAAAATGGCTAAACATCTTTGGAAGCTCTGGGTATATAGAAGAAAAGTCGTATCAGCCACGATCCAAAACAAAGTTTCGCTCCTGCTTGCAAGAGTTCTGCAAGACGACAGGTGCTTTCATCGCATCCAATATGCTTTCGTCCGTGCATGCTTACTTCGACATTTGCATGCTTTTTCTTAAATCCGCAGCTCAGGGATCCAGCTAGGGACTTCGAGGCCTTTTCTTTGCACCCATGCCGCGATCGAGCTCGCGATCGAGAAGTAGAAGTCCGACAAGACTGGCAAGGGCATGGCGATGGTGCTGGCTTAAGGTAGTCGACGTAAATGGCAACATCCGCTGGTCCTGGACATGGTGGTGGTTGTGAGGGCGCCGTGCGCCGAGATCTCGAGATCGATCATAATTAGACCTGTTCGATCTGCTCTAATTTCGAGCCACCCATATGAGCGAGCGACGAATTCCAGAGGTACGTCGCCCTTTTCTTGTATACATGCATGCAGCATCGATCGGATACTTGCGAGATCTCCGAAAAAAGTTGCTCGAGTGATCTTTGCTTGCAAGGGCTTCGATTCTAAAGAAGCTGGCAAGGCATTGCTGGTCTTTGAAGGTTGCAGGCGAACATGCCGACATGGCTCGAGGGGTGTGAGTTGTGTGTATAGGAGTCCTGCTGCCTGCCATGGATGGACAGAAGAAGCGGAAGCGAGAGGAAGCGATGAGGCCTGTGAGCAGGTCTAGCTTCTTGCTGCATCTGCAGAGTATACGTGGGCTGTCGGATGTACACATAGAAAAAATAACGGCGGGCCTGCATGTGCCTGCACCGAAACACGACACCGAAAGCGAGTATCCCCGAGAAGTGCAGGGCGTCCGGTCCCTTCTGCTACCACGAGCAAAAGGAGAGCCAATCCAGATCCCTGTCATGAGTCTAGCCGCGGCACTGACACAGAAATGCCAGGAGAACAAAGCATTCGCTGACATTTTGTCGGCGTCTGTGAAGCCTATAGAAAACGCCTGGCAGGCCAAGAACTTCCAGTCAGAGCTGCTCTCGCTGAATTTCGAGCCGATTGGAGCGGTTACGCAGATGTGTTGAGCTTTCCTTCTTGGAATTCGAAGGGGTTTATTTGTTGGAGGTGTATGTGCCCCCGAGCTGATCTCAAAAAATTTGATGCTCACACTTTCGCCAAGCATCTGGGCTTAGATTGGTAGAATCAAGCTTTTATATCTTTTGGCACTCCTATAGCAAATCAATATATACATCTCTACCCTAGCAAATTATATAATCGACTCCTCGGAAGGAGTCAAAGCGACTCCTCGGAAGGATCTTGGAACCGGTTGGAAACATAGACCCCAGAAAAAATGATGTTAATTTCGAGGTGTGATGCATGCTAGACAATTCCAGTCGATCGGTTCCTGCCAGTTGCCTTTGCCTCAGGTACCCTGTCATTTCCGGCATGGAGTTCTTCATGCGGCAGAGGCAGCAGAATAAATTGGTGTCCAGATTATTTTCTGGCCAGGATTCAATACGGCATGCTGCAAGATGGATTTTTTGCACGCTTGCGACCTCGGAGTAACATCCGACTGGCTTGGGACAGATCGAGTGTCAGAGGCCAGAGCAAACACATCCGATGCGCCCAGCTGTACCAAAACATCAAGGCGTATCACGACAGAACTGGGGTCACAGATCGATTGCCAAAGCTCCTTCCCACCATGCTTCGTGAAGAGGATCGAGGCAAGATCAAATCCCCCAATTGAGAGCCAAAGCAGGGGAAGCTCGAGCACTCGTCGGTGCTGCCTCGGAATTGGCTACAAAGTATTTGTCGC